AAAAAAAAAAAAAAAAAGGACATTTACAAAAATTTAAATATTTAAAAAAAAAAAAAAAAACTAAATATTAATGTGTATATTTAAAAAGAATTAATGAGAATAATTCTATTTGAATTTCATAATCATTAAGTATTATAATCTTAACTATTATTTTTCTTTAGATGGCATATTCTTTTTTTTTCTCATCTATATTATTCCCATTAATATTTGAAAATATCTTCTTTCTTTATATATATATATATATATATATATATATATATATATATATATATATATATTTATATATATATACTTTTTCATTAAAACAAAATATATTATTTAAAAATATTAAAAAAAAAAAAGTTTTGAAATTTTTGTAATATTTTTGTCATATATAAAGTAAATTAAAAAAATAATTTTTTTTATTTTAATTTATTTTTAAACATTTTCATTTAATAAATTATCAAATGATACTCCCTTGCTTAAACTAAGAATAAATAGCAAAAAAAAAAATTTTAGAATAAAATTATTTCCATATGGTAAGATTATTTTAGATAAAAAAAAAAAAAAAAAACATATATATAATAGCAATAGAAATATATTAAATATGTATATATATATATATATCTATATATATATATATATACTTGTGTAAGAAAAATTTTATTAAAAATATTCAAATAAATAAGGAACCTTATTATATTTTTCTTTTATGCAATATATATTTATAAAATCTATTCAGTTTAAAAAAATTTGTTTTTTTTGTTTGGTACCATCTAATATAATGATAAATAAAATCTCCCATTAGAGCTAATTGAACAACCTAAAGATAAAAAAAAAAAAAAAAAAAAAAATATATATATTTATATATATAATTATATATATAATTATATCTATATATATGTATATATTATCTTACTTGCATAATAACAACCCATAAACCAACATAAGACTTAATCTATAACAAAAAAAAAATATATATATATATATATATATATTAATAAAATAATGAAATTATAAATGAAAAATATAAATTTACAATATTATCTGATGAGTTCAGTTCTTTATGTGATACTATCCAAAAAAAAAAAGACAAAACCTAATATATGTAAAAAAAAAAAAAAAAAAAAATTAAAAGAATGAATATAAAATATTTTTTATTTTAAATATATTTTAATTATTTTTTACTTTTGAAAAAGCTTGTGAAGCTAAAAAGTGAGTTGTAAATGCTGCTACTTTTCCCTACGAATAAAAAAAAAGTGAAGTTTTAATAAAAAATAAATTTAAAATAATTATATAAAAAAAATATGATATATATATATATATATTATTTGTAGAATGAATTTTTTTTTTCTTTGATACTTCCTTCTGAAACATAGATAACTGTGGTAATACACAAACTGATTCTAGATATAAAGCAAATGACCATGATACCTGAATATTATTAAAAAAATTAAATATATTGAATTATTTTTTTATTAATATAAATTATATTTTTATATTTAATAGAATTTGATTAATCTTTTTTTTTTTTATTTACGTCAGCTGGTAGAAATGAATTCAAAGATGGATGAACAAAAACTGCAATTATAAATGCAGGTATAATTAAAAATAAGTTATTAAATATATCATTTACATTGTCATATGTGTTTTTATATTTATATCTACACAAATATACGATACAACAATTAATAAATAAAGAAATTGCTTCAACTAATTGATATAACCAATCTCCACTTTTATCATATGGTAGATATCCTTCAAAAGGTACTATAGATAATAATCTTGCAGTATTTAGAACAACATAACATTCCATCATTTTTAATGAAACACCTGCACAAGATTTGTTCATTTCAATTTTAACAAATACCATTAGAAATGAAAACATACTAATTACAGATGATAATGTTAATAAAAATGAAAAATCTCCATCGGAAAATAAATGATAAAAAATAAAAACTAAAAATAGAAAGAAACAATATATTTTTATCGAAGAGCTATGATCTGATAAATATCTCTTCATTTTTTCTGTATCATTAACTTTTCTAATAAAATCATTTACCCCTTTCATTTTTTTATATTATAGATAAATATATGTATATTATATATATATATATATATGTTTTTATTATTTTTTTTTAATATTTAATTCTTCCTAAAAAAAAAAAAAAAAGGTAAATCTTAAATAATTATTTTCTAATAGGATTTTTTATTTAATTCCCAATTATTTTACAGCACTTTTCTTTATTCTGTAAATATATGCTTATTATAAATCAATTAATTTTAACAAAAGCAACTTGATTATTACTCAAAACGATTAGCAAAATTATTTTTTCTATCAAGTATATTTTTAAGTTAATATCATTTAATTTATAAAACTAAAAATTTTACATTAAAAAAAAATTTTTTTTTTTTTTATATAGCAAAGGTAATATGTTTTATTTTTATTTATTTTTTTTTTATTATAATATTTTTATTTTTTTTTGGTTTTTTTATTTTTATTCTTATACTGCAATTAATTTTTTAATTTTAGAAATTTTTATTGAAAAAAAAAAAAAAAAAAACTATGTTTTCCTTTTCGATTAAAAATTACAAAACTATAATAAAAATAAATTTGCATTTTTAATTATAAATTAATACACATTCAACATTGATATTTTAATATAAAAAAAAAAAAAAAAAAAATTGTGTAAAAAATTTTTTTGTAAGCTTTAAAATATATTTTTGCAAAGTTAAAAAAAAAAAATACAGTTTGTACACAAATTGTTATAAATCTGTTATATTAATAAAAAAATTAATTATTTTTATTTTTAATGAATATATTTTATATTTTTATTTATAATTTATGATTTTAAATATAAACATAAAGCTTCTTGTATTTATTAGCATAACTTCGTTATTTTTAATATATATATATAAATATATATATATATGTATATATAACTTAAGAATAATAAATTTAATGAAATTTTGTGTTTTCACTAAAAATTATAATTTATAATAACATTTTTCTATATTTTATAATTTTTTTTTTTTTTTTAATTTATAATAATAAGTAAATATTTAGAGAATATATCTAAACGTTACTTTTTTTTTTTATACTTTTTTTATACTACAACTTTTTAAGGATATTATTTATTAATATTTATTATCCTTTATGCTCAAAGATTTTATAAATCATAGTTTAATAAAAAAAAATAAATTTGATAAACTTTTTTTCATCCAATTAATTAATACATATACTTCATTAAATATATATTATGAAATTTTGGAAATAAAAAGTTAATGTTTTAAAAATAAAATAATTAGATTTTTTTTTTTTTTTTTTTTTTTAAATATAATTAAAGTTAAAAAAGAAAACATTTGATCTATTTTAATTAAATAGTTGTTAATATAAATATAAAAATCTTTTTTAATTTTATCTTTATATTTTAATTTGTATTTTAGACAATATTTTAAAAATTAACCACTTTTTTGAAGAGAAACTTATAAAATTTTTTTTTTCTGTATTTTCCTTTTTTTCTGAATACTTTTTATAAGAAATTTTTATATAAGAAGAAAAGTAGACATTATGAGTATCTTTATATTAAAATAAAAAAAAAAAAAAAAATGCATATATATATATATATGCATAATTTTAAAATGGGAAAAGAAAAATATATTCTTTTTAAAAATGTTTATAAATAGTTTTATATATCTTTCTTCTTTAATCTAAATATTTATAAATAAGTAAAATAAAATTATGCTTCTAATGATTTATTAAAAATGTAATAAAATTATGAAAATGTTTTATACTTTATACAAAAAAGTAAAACTTTAATTTTTATTTTAATATGGCATGTAGTAAAATCATAAGTTTTATCTTGTAAAGAAAATAATATTATAAATAAGTATAACTATTTTTTTTGTTAATTTAACAGAATTTGTTATCATAAATATTAATCAATTTAATTTGTTTTTAAAAAATAAGATGTTATTTAATAAAACAACTTTTTTTTTCAAATATTATTTGATAAAATTATTTTTCCTTAAGTATTTTTTTAAGAAATTATAACTTCTATATATATATATATATTTATGATTTCCTTATTTATTTATATCTTTAATAATTTAAGCTAAAAAATTAAAAATTTTTTTTTTCTAATTTTATCTACGAAAATATATTTCTTTTTATTTCCTTTAATAAAAATTTTATTTTTTAATTTATTCTTTGTAACAAAAGTATTTTTAAGTTTATATTTTTTAATACAATTTTTCAGCTTTTTAATTTTGTTGTATTTTATTTTATTTATTTATTTTTTTTTTTTTTTTGTTAGAAAAATAATTAAAAAGAAGTAATATTTCATAATTTAAATTATAAAAAGACATTTTAAATGATGTTTTTTTCAATTTAATAAATTTAATAAGTGTGTAATGTATATATTTATATGTATTTTTATTTTACTTCAAAAAAAAATAAAAAATATTTGAATAAAAATATATACATATTTATGTGTGTATAATTGTATACTTATATATAAAGAAAAAAATATTAGATATCATACACACTTTTTCTCTCTTAATAGCTCCATGCAAAAATATAAAAAAAAATTATCTTTTAAAAAAATCTTTTTATTTTTAACGTTTTTATAAAACTTTTTTTTTTTTTTTTTTATTATTTGCTATATTAATAACCATAATATTTTACAACGTTGAAATTTAAAAATATGTAAATTTATATATTATCTTTTTTTATACACTTTAAGAATTGAAAAAATAATATTTCACTTACTTAATAAAAATATATTATATATATATATATAGTTTAATGAAATATTTTATAATAATATTTTTTATATCCTTATAATCTTATGCATTTATTTATTTTTGTTAACCATAAAAAAAAAAAAAAAAGAAAAAAACAATAGAAGGAAAAAGATTATCCTTTTTTAAGACATTTTTTTTAAAAAAAAAAAAGTATGGAAAAAAAAAGTAGTCCATTCGATGGAGATAAAGAAAAAATAGAAAATACTTTTGATGAAAAAAATAAAAATTTATCATTTGAAGAAAAAGAAGGTAATAACAAAAAAAAATTAGTAATAACACTAACGAGTTAATGAATAAATTGAATAAAGGAAAAAATATAAAAAAAAAATAAATAAATAAATAATAACAATTTAAAATATATTGAAATAAAATTCTTTATTTTTTCTTATAATGCAGATAATAAAAGTGAAAGTATAAACAAAGAAAAAAGTGTAAATGAGAAAAATATTGTGAGCAATTTTAAAAACAGTGAAGAGAATAATGATGAAAGCAAAAAAAGTAAGACACTTGAAATTTTAGAAGAAAAGTTAGAAAAACAAATTAAAACTATTGAAGAAAACTCTAAAGCTATTTTTACTTTAGAAAATAGAATTAAGGAATACTTAAAAGAAGAAAAAGATCTTTCCATTTACAAAAATGACTTATATGAGAAAAATTATGATAAAAAAAATAAAGGTAAAGAAAAAGATTTAGTGAAAGATCATGAAGAAAATATAAATTTAAATAATGAAAAACAAAACATAGATATATTAATAAATGAAGAAAATAAAAATACAGTAATAAAAAAAGAAAATGATTATATAAAGAGCAATCAAAATGAAAAAGGGGAAGATGGATGTGAGAAAAATATAATTAATGAATTATTTTATGATAATGATTTTGATAAATATGACGATGTTGATGTATGGAATAATTTAAATTATGCATTTGTTGAAGATATAAAAATACTTGATATAAATGAGGATAAAAGTGATATGAATAAATTTAATGAAGAAAAAGAAACAGAAAGTAAATTGAAAAAAAAAAAATTGATAAAACATTTAATGAAATCTATCGGTGGAGAAGTAGAGAATGATGAAGAAAAAAATGAGTTAGAAGCAGATATGAAACTTAAAAAGGAAAAAGAAAAAAATGAAACAGAAAATTGTGACAATAAAAAAAATGAAAATGACAAAGATAGTGAAGTAAAACAACTATCCCTAAATTCCATCGATAAATCTTTTATACAAGTTCCATTAAAATGTATATTGAATACATTCAGAAATATACAAAAGGAGTTAGAAAAAAATATTATGATAATAACATTATTTATTGAAAAAAAGTTAACAAATTTAAATGATGATACATGTATAGATAAATTAAATACTATAATAGAAAAATTACAAATTCTAAAAAATAAAGTTAATGAATCCAAATTGCTATTAAATAAATATGTTAAAAGATTAGTGAATAGACTTAAATATATTTATTTTGAGGCAGATATTCAACTAGAAAATTTGAAACATGATTTTAGATTTGAAACTTATGAAAATAGAATCAATTGGTTAATAGATGGATATTTATCAAGATATGGATATTTTGATACAGAAGAAGTATTTTGTAAAAGATACAAATTACAAAATTATTCAGATGCTGATGTTTATAAAGATTATTTAGGAATAATAAATGAATTAAAAAATCATAATACGAAACCAGCATTAGAATGGTGCCAAAAATATAAGTCTCAATTAAAAAAAATTGATTCTAATATAGAATCAGAGCTGCATTTGCAACATGTTATAAATTTAATATTTGAAAAAAAGTTTTTTGAAGCTATTGAATATATTAAAAAAACAGTATCCGAACCTGAAGGTTGTATAACTTATGATGTCAAATATATAATTACACATATAGGTTTAAATAACAGTACATTATCATTAAAAGCATTTAATGAAAAAAGATGGAAGAAAATAATAAAAATATTTAAAAAGGTATATTCAGAAATATCAGGAGTATTAAATAAGCCATTACTTGAATTATTATTAAAAGCTGGTATTTCAGTTATAAAGACAGAACATTGTGGAAAAAAAAAATCAACAAAATGTCCAACATGTATTGATGAATTAAAGAATACTATCAATTGTTTACCTCATATACAAAAAACAAGAAGTTTTTTAGTTTGTCCATATACGAATGAAGTAATGGATGAAAATAATCCTCCATTTACTACACCTGCGGGACATGTATATTCAGAAAAAGCCATTTCATTATTTCTTAAATCAGATGACCTCTTTGAGTGTCCTATAACGGAAGAAAAATATCGTATTGAAGAATTCTCAAGATTATTTATATGAAAATATAGAATAACAAATATAGGAAAAACAAATAAAAAATATATATATATCTATATCATTGTTTTATTTTTTAATGTATTTTTTTAATGTATTTTTTGTGTATATATATTATGCATTTATTTGATTATTTAATGAAAATTTTTTAGTTAGTATTTTTTTTTAATTTACATTAAGACATATTGAATTATTTTATTTATATCATCCTATCTTTTACTTTACTATCATTTTTTTTATTAACTTTTTTTTTTTTTTTTTTTTTTTTTTTCAAAACAAATTCTGTATCTTTATTTTTAGTATAATACATGTTTTTTTTTTTTTTTTTTAAAATAATATGCCCTAATATTTTATAATTTCAAAAAAGTTTATAATATTAGAACTTTTTAATTATTTGTTATAATAATTTTTAAAGAAGTTATTTAAAAAAAAAAAATTAAAATAAAAATAATAGAAAATATAAATATTTGTTTTAAATCTTAAAATTCTATTTAAATAACAAAAAAAAAAAAAATAAAATAAAATAAAAATATATTAACATAAAATATATACATATAAAATGAATCTATATAAAAATAATATAAAATATATAAAATAAAAATAACTATTTCAGCAAATTTAATAATATAATCATTCCAAATATATATATCTACTTAATATATAAGATTATGTATATCCCTTAATTATTTCAATATATAATTTTTTTTATTTTTTTTTTTTAAATTATAAAAGTTTTGTTATAACACCAGAAGCAACAGTTTTTCCACCTTCCCTTAAAGAAAATCGTAATCCATTATCTAAAGCTAAAGGATACATTAGTTCAATTGTACATTTAATATTATCACCAGGATTAGCTATTTGAGTATCTTCATTTAGTATAACTGCACAATTAACATCGGCTGTTCTTATATATGCCTGTGGTCTATAATAAGAAGAAAAAGGATTTTTTCTTCCTCCTTCTTCATTTTTTAAAACATAAATGTCACTTTCAAATTTTTTGTATGTTTTCATATTAGTTATTTTTGTTATAACCATTCCTCTTGATATATCATTCTTTTTTACATTTTTTAACATAACCCCAATTTGATCACCTGCTTGTGCAGTATCTAGCGTTTTTCTAAACATTTCTATTCCTGTAATAACAGTTTTGATTGTTTTATCCTTTATTCCTAAAACTTCAACTTGATCATTCAATTTTAACATACCTTGTTCCACTCTACCTGTTGCTACGGTACCTTTACCTGATATTTGCAAAACATCATCTATACTCATTAAAAATGGTAAATCAATTTTACGTTTAGGTTCATCAATATAATTATCGCATGCATCTAACAGTTTCAAAATAGAAGGAACACCATATTCTGATTTATCATCATTTAATGCTTTTAACGCAGAACCTTTTATAAATGGAACATTATCTCCATCATATTTATGAAAGGATAATAATTCTCGTATTTCTAGCTCTACTAAATCAACTAATTCCTGATCTTCACACATATCTATCTTGTTTAAATAAACTATCATTTTTTCAATACCTATTTGTCTAGATAATAAGACATGTTCTTTCGTTTGTGGCATTAATCCATCATAAGCAGAAACAACTAAAATACTTCCATCCATTTGAGATGTTCCTGTAATCATATTTTTAATATAATCTAAATGCCCCGGACAATCAATATGACTGTAATGTCTTTTTTCAGTTTCATATTCTACATGGGTAGCATTAATTGTAATTCCTCTTTTTTGTTCTTCTGGGGTTTTATCTATTTCTTCATATGATTTATATGTTCCTCTATTTAAATTGGAGCAAACTTTTGTTATTGCTGCTGTTAAGGTAGTTTTTCCATGATCAACATGACCAATTGTTCCAATATTCATATGAGGCTTTTTTCTTTCGAATACTCCTATTGCAAAATTTTTTTTAAATATTTTAAATAAATTTTCATCTCTTTTTTCAATATATATATCATTTATTAATTTATTAACATTTTTTAAATTATTATTGTTATTATTATTAATATTATTAATTGTTTTGTTAAAATTATTATTCCCTATATTTTTTACTTCCTTACATTTGTTCGTATTTCTATTTAATTTATTTACTTCTAATACTTGATTCAATTTATTAAAACCATATTTTATTTTTTCATTTTTCGGAAATACATTTAAAAAGTTATATTTTGTTTTTAACATTTTTATTAATATATTTAAAAAAAAAAAAAATAAAATAAAATAAAATAAAACAAAACAAAATAAAACAAAATATAAATGAATTACTACTATTTATAAATTGTATAATTCATATATACAAACATAAAATTTTAAATATTCTTTTATAGTATATAAATACTATTTATTTCATTAACATTTTAAAATATTCATAAAAGGAATGTTTCTATTATTAAAAGTTAAATTTTTAAAGATTAATTTTTTTATAGAATTATTTTAATGTATTAAAAAAGAAAAATGCTTTTATTTATTTTTTTATTTTTATGAATCTTAATAAAATTAAAAAATCAAAAATTTTAAAAAAATTATTCCCATTATTTAAATCTAACAAATGAAATAAAAATGAAAAAATATATTAAAAATTTTTTGCGAATCAATAATTTTAATTATAATTCTTTCATTTAAAAATTTATTCGTTAATTTTTTGATCACTTCTATTTTATGTTTGAAAGGAGAACTATAAAAAAAAATGAATTTTTTTTAGTTTATATTAACAAAAAGATTTTCTTAATAACAAAAAAAAAGTATATATATATTTATATATATATATGAATAGAAATGAAATAAAAAAATACTGTGCTACTTAAATATTTACACATTTAAGAAAATTTTTAGTAATTTCTTTTTTATAAATTCCATATTTTTTTTTTGTTTCCTTTTTGTATTGTGTACATTGAACTTTTGTAGTTCATATATATATATAAAGAGAGATAGATAATATATTTATCTTTTTTTCAAAAAGATGAATGATATAAAGAAAAATAAATTACTTAATTATAAAAAAAAATGTAGGTGTAAATATTTAATAGCTAGTTGCTTTTTTTGTTTGATAATAAGAATTTTAATTTTTTTACTTTTAAATGTACTAGAAGGAAGTAATTATGAATATATTAATAAGTTAATAAATATTGATGAAACTATGAATGAAGCGAAAAATGAACTAAACAATGTTACCAAATTTAAATATAATAAAAATGAGAAATTAAAAGAGCTTGAGCAGTATTTTCAAACAAATAAAAGAAATAATCAGTTAAAACAATTTTTATTCAAAAATGATTCTATGCATTATTCTTTTAATTCAGATATATATAATTTTAAATATATATACGAAAGCTATGTGTTAAGCAAATTGTATAAAGATATTTATTATTCTTTAACAGTAAGAATTAATCCTTTATTTTTGAAATTTATACATTTTATTATTTTTAAAAAATTGAGGTTTAATAATAGTACATTATCAAATATCACAAATAATTATGAGTTTCGTTATTATATATTTATTACTATAATAGACATATTAATAGCCATTTTTTTATTTTTAATTATTGAAAAATTAATGACATGGGATACTTATTTTAATTATGTGAATCAAAATAAAAAAGAAAGATGGAAGTTAATAAACTCAATTTTATTAATCAATATATATTTAAATAACCCTCTTACAATTTTATCAAATAGTTTTTTATCTCTTGATAATTTTAAGTTGTTAATTGTGACCACATCTTTTTATCTATCCCTTTTAAGAATAAATGAATTTTCAAAGAAATTTTTATCTATTCTTAATTTATTTATGATCATATTTTTTAATGCAATTCTTTTATATGTATCATCTTTTCATTTTATACTTATTATAATAGGAATTAACAATTTTATTATTTGTATTCATGAAAAAATAAATAAACATGAAATTAATGAAAATGTAAAATTTTATAATCTTTTTCGTATTCTATTAAAAAATATCTTTTTACTTCTTAGTACTCTTACAACTTATTTTATGTTAATATATGTATCTTCATATTTTAATGAAAATTCAATGGTAACAATAAAACAAAAATTTTAAACATACATAAACATTTTATATATTGAATAGAACAAATTATATTTCTAATATATAAAATTATTAAAACTAAAATAACATTTAAATTTATTTAAATACTTTATATATATATATATATATATATATATATATATATTTTTTTTTTTATGTGTTTATTAGTTCTTTTTAAATAATACATTGATTAATGAATATAAACTATTGTTTTTACTGCCAAACTTGGGTAACTTTTGGTACATTTTTTCCTTGGTAAGTCATTTTATTTTTGTAGAAAATAATAGAATAAAAAAGAAAATAATACATAATGTAAAATATTTTATTTTTATTTTTAGATGTTCAGGGATTATTATTATTCTTTCTTGTTCTTGTTTCATGTAAGAATAAATTAAATATACACACTAAACATAGTAGCTATATATTACTAAAACCATAATAATTAAAAAGATATAAAATAATAATAAATAAAATTATTTCAAAGAATTTCCAAATTATTATAATAGAAATTAAATACCTCCTTTTTTTTTCATTATTTCTTTTATTTTTTAATACAGTTTCATGTGTTTTTATATCCTCTACCTCTTTTTTTTCGTCTAGTAAAAACTCCCCTTATTTATTTAACAACCATGATTACAGTAAAAAATAAAAAAATTTTTAATTTCATATAATTTATACAAATAAATAAATATAGAAAAAAGGACATTAGTATATATAATATATAATTTTAATTGTTTTTATTAAAAATATGTATTTTTATTAAATTTTTTCTTTTTTTAGATTGCATTGGTGTTTCAACCTAATATAACAATTAATGATATAGTATATTCTTTGGTAATTTTAAATAATTTAAACATTAAGAAAATAAACTAAATCATTTGTATATATAAATATATATATATATTTTTTTTTTTTTTTTCAGTTGATATTAGCTATTGATTACGAAAAAACATTATATACTATTCCCTTCATTAAACTAGTAAAAACATAAAATTTTAAAATTAATTTAAATATTATTTTATGTAATTATTTTCCTTTGCATATATATAAAGCTATTTTGATCATACATACTATATTGTTTTTTTTTTTTTTTTTTATCTTATTTTATAAGTATATAATAAACATACATATTTTTTTTTTCTATTCAAGTTAATAATATTATTAGGAAATTTAAGTTTATTCTCCGTAACAATAAATTTGTGGCTGAGAAAAAATACAGGAAATGCCAACTATGTTTATTTTAATCAAATTGTGATTTTTAACATAATCAGTAATTAAAATAAAATTCCTTTAAGCATTACATTATTAAATAATAATGCATCAAAATTATATATATATATATATATATATATATATATATATATATATATATATATATATATATATATATATGTTTATATTATTTTTTTATAGCTTATATTATATCAAATAGCTTAAAATTCTACATTCGTGTGCAAACACCTACAGCTCAGTTGGAAGAAGGAAAATGTATATTTGTATCAAAAAAAAAAAAAAGACTTAATATTTTAAAAATGTTAAAAAACAAATTTTCATAATTTACTCCTTTATACATATAATAGTAAATTGTTTGATTTTAAATAATAATAAAAAAAAAAAAAAAAAAATACACAATATCTAATTAAATTCCTTTATTATAAAATATATAAACTTTAAATTTTATTCTTAAAAGTTTATATTAACATATAAATATACTTTTTTTATTTCCTTTAAAAAAATTAATAAAAATATATTACATCAATAAAAATGTTTCTATATATTGAAATATATAACTTTTTTTTCTCTTTTATATTTTGGTTATAAATATTTAAATGATACTTATTTTTTTTTTTTTTTTTTTTTTTTATTTTCTTATGAAAAAAAATTTAGTTTATTTATACAGAAAATTTCTTTTTTGTTTTTTTTTTATATGAACATGAAATTTGAAACTTCATATTTTTTTTTTTTTTTTTTTTATTACAAATAGCTTTGTAAATTATTTTTAAAAAGACTTTTTTTTGAAAGTAATAAAAATTTAGTATGCAAAGGGGTTAATAAAATATTTACAAAAAAATTGTTTTTGATCAAAAAAAAAACTATGATGTATATATAAATTTTCTACAACATTATTTTTGCATTTCATAATTTTCTCTTCATTTTTTTTTTTTCTTTTCTACTATATATTAATAAAATTAAAAACAGTATGTATAAATTAGTATAAAATATAAAAAGCTAAAATAAGAATTTTTTTTTTTTTTTTTTATTTTTTAATTTCGCCACCGAAATTTGTGCATTTATGAAGATGCATACTGTATTGTATATAATTTTGAAATTTTTATATTTTTTTTAATTTTTATTCAAGTATTAATATATTTTAAATTTATATTAATTTTTAAAATTTTATTTCCATGTGATATTTATATTTTTGTGAATATTCAGTTTTTATTTTTATTATAGAACATTTTATTTTAATTAAATAAAAATTCACATTTTGAAAATTTTTATTATATATATTTATAAAGATATTTTAAATTATAATAATGAAATTTTTTTAAAATTATTTATTTAATAATTTTTTTTTATTTAATGTTATTTTGTTTTATTTCTTTTTATATATATTACTTTATTTTTATTATATTTTTAATTTATGAAAATGGCTTCAAAAGTAGATAAAAAAAAAAAGTCAAAGACTAAATTAAATTCTGAATTAAGCAAAAAAAAAGATTTGAAAAATAAATTAGAAGGTTAGCATATAGAAAGAATACTTTAAAATATATCCTTTTTAAAATAAATATTTTTAAATATTTATAAAAATATATTTTTTTTTAATGATGAAAAAAAAAGAAAAACTGACATAAGTTGATGATTTTTGTTTTTTCACCAAGATCTCTGAAAAAAAAAAATAAATAGAATAATCTATATAGAATTTATATAAATATATTCATTTATTTGAATGTTGTATATTTTTTAACTTTTTTTTTTATATTTTAAAAAACTTTTTTTTTATAGAAAACTATGATAATAAAAACGATAGCAAATCAACAGTATCCACTGCAGTTGATTCTGAAGCAAAATTTCAGGTTTCAAACGATAACTTAAGTAAAAAAAAGAATAAGAAAAATTTGAATACTGGTAATTTACATCAAAAAAATTTCAAAATTAATGAAATTGAAAAAAAAAATGAAAGTAAAAAGCAAAAACAAAACAAAAAAAAAGCAAAGATAGAAAAAAAAAATGTATCAGATTTATCAAATGACAATAACAAAGAAGTAATTGAAAAAAAAATAAATGAAAAAGAGAAAAATAAACATGATTCAAGTTCAAGTTCAAGTTCAGATTCAGACTCAGACTCAGACTCAGATTCAGATTTAAACGTTAAAAGCGAAGATGTATTAAAAAAAAAAAATGACTCATCTGAAGTTAAAAAAGAAGAAAAAAAATTAGAAAAAAAAAAATCAGATTCAGACTCGGACTCAGATTCAGATTCAGACTCAGATTCCGACTCAGACTCAGATGAAGAAGAAAAGGAGAAGGAAAAAGAAAAAGCAGAAAAAAAAAAAATAGAAAAGAAAAAAGTAGAAAAGAAAAAAATAGAAAAGAAAAAAGCAGAATCTGAATCAGATTCAGACTCAGACTCAGACTCAGACTCAGATTCAGATGAAGAAGAAAAGGAGGAGGAGAAGGAAAAAGAAGAAAAAAAAAAAGTAGAAAAGAAAAAAGCAGAATCTGAATCAGATTCAGATTCAGATTCAGACTCGGACTCAGACTCAGACTCAGACTCAGATGAGGAAGAAGAAAAAAAAGAAAAGGAAAAAGCAGAATCTGAATCAGAGTCAGACTCTGAAGAATCAGAGAAAGAGAAAAAAAAAAAAATTGAGAAAGAAAAAAAAAAGAAAATAGAAAAGAAAGAAGAAAAAGTAGAAGAAAAATTGAGTTCAGATTCAGATGAATCAGATAAAGAAAATGAAGAGAAAAAGGAAAAAAAGATGGGAAGTGAAAAAGTAGTAGAAAAATCTGAATCAGATTCAGATTCAGATTCAGATTCAGATTCAGATTCAGATTCGGATTCAGACGAATCAGATGAAGAGAAGGAGAAAAAAGAGGAAAAAGTGGAAAAAAAAGAAAATATAGAAAAATTAGAAAAAGAAGAATCAAGTTCAGACTCAGACTCAGATTCAGATTCAGAATCGGAAGAATCAAATGAGGAAAAAGAAAGTAAAGAAAAAGTACAAAAAGTAGAAAAAGAAGATTCAGAGTCAGAATCAGATTCAGATTCCGATTCAGATGAAGAAAAAGAAGAAAAAGAAGAAAAAAATATTTCTGATAAAATTAACAAGGAAGTTGAAGAGAAAAAAGAATTAAATGGAATAGAAGGAAAAAATAAAAGAAAAAATGTAAATGAAAATGTAAATAAAGAAAAAAATAAAAAGCAAAAGATGAACAACATAGAATATGAACAGAATTTCAATGAACATATGAAAGAGGAATTTATAGTAACCTTGCTCAATATAAGCAGAAATACAAAAGAAGGGGATTTAAAAAATTTTTTAAAAGATTTGTTAGATGAACATTTCAATGAAGATAAGATTTTTATACATATCAATGCTTATAATAATAGTGCATATATTTATTGCTCAGATAGAAATATAAAAGATAAACTTTTATCAAAAAATAATGAATATTTTGAAGGGGTTCCTATAAAATTTCTTGAAAATCCTAATGTATCAAGCAAAATAATTCTTTATCATACTAGTAAAAATACAACGCAAGATGATGCTAGAAGAATGTTTGAAAAATATGGAAACATAGTTGAAGTTTATTTTACTAATAATAAACCAAAATTTTTTGTTGTATTTGATAATCTTGAAAGTTGCATAAAATCTTTAGAACAAGATGGTTGCCTTTTGAATGAAAATTTTATTCATGTCTCATTAACATTAAATAATGGTCAAATGGACAATAATAATAATAATAACAATAATAATAAAAAATTTAATTATAACAATGGATTAAATAAGAAAAGATCAGGAAAAGGTTTTTCAGGCAACAATTTTGGGAATTATAATAAATTTAATAATAAATTTAGTAATGGAAATAATAATGGAAATAATAATGGTAATAATAATGGTAATAATAATAATTATAACAACAAATTTAATTCTAAACCATTTAATAATTTTAAAAATAAAAAAAATTTTTAATAAAAAAATAAACTAAAACAAATTAGGAAAAAAATTTAAAACAAAAAAAAAAAAAAAAAAAAAAAAAAAAAGTTTTCATAACATTAATGTTAATAAATATATGAATTTAAAAATGTTAAACATATATATATGCATATATATATATATATTATAAATAAAATTTTATTTTTTCAAATTATATTTTTAATATTAACTATATATATATATTTATATTTAATAAAATGAAAAAATCATATAATATTTTATATTTTTTAATTTTGTTTTAATATGTACTTAAATATTTGTTAATAATTTTTAATAATTTTTAATAGCATTTAATTAATACACAAATGTGGTATGCAGTCTCTTTTCATATTACCACCTAATTAATAACTTTTTATTTTGTTTAAATTTTTAGATTCACAAAAAAAAAAAAAAAAAAAAAAAAAAAAAAAAAAA